CAAGAAGCAACCCGCCTTTGCCGTTGCTGGACGGGGCCCACCACCACCGCCCTCCCTCCACCTCCACACGCCAGCGGCCAGTGCAGTCGTCGTCTACTCGTCTCCGTCCTCCTCCGGTCCTCCCTCTCCCCGTCCTGGCGTCCTGCCCCGCACCCGCACCATTCCTTCCTCGTCCGTCGGTCCGTTCCCACTCCGGCTCCATCCATCCCCGTTCCCCAGTCAAACAAACCACCCCAGAGGAAAGTTGCAGCGCCTTTCCTGCGAGTCCAGCGTCGGTTTGATAAGATAATCCGGGCGGAGTGGGCGGAGAACGGCAGTTCCCACGCACGCTGCCCAGCGTTCGTCGTCTCGCCCGTTCAAAGATTTGTTGTTCGCTGCTGACCGACCGACCGACTGACTGACCCGAGCGGGGGAAGTCGTTGGGGACCCGGCCACCCGGGCCTGCACCAGCACCGCCGGTCGCGGTTGTTGCTTGCCTGGCCACGACCGCCGCTAGTGGAGGGGTTGTCTTGCCTTGCCTTTCTTCTCTTTGACCCGGCCTAGCCTTGGTTCGATTGGCCGTCGTTGAGGCCACTCCGTACGCCGCCCGCCGCAGGGGGGTCGCGAATTCCCCGCCATCTCTTCACTTACCTTCACACCTGCTGCCGCTGCTGGTGGTCGTGAAAATATCTGCCGCGGAAAAGTAAGCCCCCTCGCCCGCCGCCGATGCTGGACTACTACGACTAGCCACCCGCACGCGCGCAAGGTGCTCGACGGATTGCTGCTGCACCAGGCAGACATGGCGGGCGCAGCGGCGGGTCGGGGCGACTGGGAGGACCTGGTGCGCCGGATGTTCCCGCCGGGGACCACCATCCCGGAGGCGCCGCCGAACCTCGACTACTCCATCGCGCTGGAGTACGACGGGCCGGACGTCTCGTACGAGCTCCCGCGGATCGACCCCGTCTGTCTCCCCGCCATACCCACCGCCGAGCCGGTCTCGGGGCCGCTGGGGCTCGGCCTCGGCAGCAGCGGCGTCGTGCTCGTCGCGCCCGTCATCGGCCCCGCTGCGGCCCGTGCCCGTGCCCATGCCAACCCGCCGGCGCCGGGGGCGTCACGGCCTGGTGGTGCTGCTGCTCACCGTGCCGCGGCGCCGCCTGCGCGGGCGAGGAGGGGAAGCTCGCCATCTGCCGGTTCGGCGGCGGCGGCGCGGGATGAGGACGGCTGCTCCGATGCTGACGATGAGGACGAGGACGGCTCCCGCCCGCCGCGGAGTTCCAGGCCTGCTGCGCCGGAGGGAAGGCGGCCTCAGGTGGTCACCTTTGGGGAGCCGGAGGATAGCAGGTACGAGAGCCAGGACTTCGACGCGGCGTCCGCCGAACAACAGTACGTCGCGGTGACGAGGCCCGCGGTCGAGAGGAAGGGGAGGAGGACCTGCTGCCACCGGTGCGGGAAGAGCAAGTGGGAGAGCAAGGAGTCGTGCATCGTCTGCGACGCGCGCTACTGCGGCCACTGCCTGCTCCGCGCCATGGGGTCCATGCCCGAGGGCCGCAAGTGCGTCACCTGCATTGGCCGGCCCATCGACGAAGCCAAGCGCTCCAAGCTCGGCAAGGGCTCCAGGGTACTGGCGCGCCTGCTCAGCCCCCTGGAGGTCAGGCAGATCCTCAAGGTCGAGAAGGAGTGCCAGGCGAACCAGCTCCGGCCTGAGCAGCTCGTGGTCAATGGTTTCCCTCTTCATGATGAGGAGATGGCGGATTTGCTTAGCTGCCAACGGCCTCCTGGGAATCTCAAGCCTGGAAGATACTGGTATGATAAGGAGTCAGGATTGTGGGGAAAGGTAATTCTTGTCGGTTTGCGATGAACATGCCGTTTCATGTAACCTCAGCTTCTTCTGCTGATAACACTCTATTTCTGCTGATATATATTTGCAGGAAGGTGAAAAGCCAGACAGGATTATTAGCACTAACCTCAACTTTAATGGAAAGCTTCAGCCTGATGCTAGTAACGGCACCGCTCAGGTTTTCATTAACGGACGGGAAATTACAAAGATTGAACTGAGAATTCTAAAGGTGTCAATTTTTCCTTAGTCTTGGTTTTCCAAGAATATGATGATTGAAAGTTGCTATTAAATGTACATTCTAGTTCTCCTGTGTCCCTCTTCTAACCGAATCGGTCACAATCACCGTCTTTCATGCAGTTTGCAAAAGTCCAATGCCCCCGTGATACTCACTTTTGGGTTTACCATGATGGCCGCTACGAGGAAGAAGGACAAAACAATATCAAAGGGAAAATATGGGAGTCAGTATGTATCTTGGTCAAACACTCCTTTTTTGTTTTTCTAAACATTGTTCGCCTTTTTTTTTTTGAAATTAACATGTATTTCTGTTTCGTTACTTTTAGCATGACTTGTTAATTCTACTCTTTTTACAGCCTTTGACACGTTTTGCGTGCGCCTTGGTTTCACTACCTGTGCCTCCTACAAACTTTGATGCGACAAAAGATGAAGCCCCATATTCATCGAGAACTGTACCTGACTACTTAGATCACAAAAGAATACAAAAGCTTCTTATTCTTGGATCACCTGGAGCTGGAACAAGCACCATATTTAAGCAGGTCTCACCAAAATTTACATCCATAACGCCTTCAGTTTCCCTATATGTTTCTGCAGCGTAGCAGCAAGGTTCCATGTGACATCACTTATAGACTATAGCAGCATGCATCACTTGTCTATAGCTTGCTATTTGGAACCTTGGACGGACTCCAAATTTGTCATCAGTTCGTCTATGAAACTCAGCTGAAAATTTATTAATAAAGTTTGTCTGTTCAAGTAGTCCCAAATTCTGGTAACGTAGAGACCCTTTGACTATTTTGGAGTGTCGGTTTCTGCAGTACTCCATAAAAACCTTATGTAAACTAGGTCTTATATACATTTATGTTTGGTAAAACCAACACTTTGAATCTTGGCTTAAAGTTTATTACTAAAGTTTGAGCAACAAAACGACAAAAAAATGGCTTTCTTCAGGAAACTCCTATATGCTTTCTATAAAAGCCAATTTTACCTGTCAAAAAAGGGGTCCCTTGTTTTGATAGTGTGGAAATACTATTATTGTTTCGGAGTGTTGATTTGTGTGGTTAAACACTGAAATCTTCTGTCAGATAGTGCTGATATATGTCTATGTGTCTAGTTTAGTAATTGTATATGCATCTAGATTTTAAATGAGAAATGGCACCATTTGAGTTTTGGATTACATAACAGGCTAAGCTATCATTTATCTTGTATATACATTTGCATGACATTTAGTTTACATAACAGGCTAAGTTGTTATACGGCAATAGATTTACTGATGAGGAACTTGAGAATATCAAATTAATGATCCAAAGCAACATGTTTAAGTACCTGGGGATTCTGCTTGAGGGCCGTGAGCGCTTCGAGGAAGAGACTTTGGCTGTATCAAATCACCCAAGCTCAGAGGGTGATGATCCTCAGCAAGGTACCAGGACAGCTGATACTTGTTCTGCTAATTTTTCCAGGAGCTTATGCTGTATATTAAGTTGGTCTTTTTGATGCAGATGAAATTAAATCTTCAAGTTCTAATTCTTGCATCTACTCGATAAATGCAAAGCTGAAGAAGTTTTCTGATTGGCTTCTGGACATCATTGCAACGGGAGACCTAGATGCATTCTTTCCTGCAGCTACCCGTGAATATGCTCCAGTCGTTGATGAGTTGTGGAAAGATCCTGCCATTCAAGCAACATATAAAAGAAAGGATGAATTGCATTTTCTCCCTGATGCTGCTGAGTATTTCTTGAGCAGGGTATAAATCAAACATTGTAACTTAAATTAATGCAGCCCATTTCATTGCTAATAAGTACAGAGTTGCCCTTGATTTATCCTGTTGATGACTTGCATTTCATGGATTCTGCTAGATCAGCACTCCAAATTATGACTGTTACTCTATTAGTGAATCCCTTTACCCATTAGCAATATTGTTGCTAATTAGCCTAGGGTATATCTTTCCTTTGAATTTTAGGGAAATGGAATTGATGGTCTGCTCATTTATATAAGAAACTTTATGTTTCCAGATTTGGTGGCCTTCTCTCATTTGCAAACAATGATCTTTGGCCCCATGCTAACTGGATGTGCTGCTACGTATTTTTTTTCCTCCACTGTTATGGTATTTGATTACCTAAATTGACTTGTCCATCGTATGGCAAATCCATGCAGGCTATTGAAGTATCAAGTAATGAATACGAACCGTCAGACAAAGATGTAATATACGCCGAAGGAGTAACACAAGGGAATGGATTGGCCTTCATTGATTTCACTTTGGATGACCGGAGCCCTATGTCAGAACCCTTCGGTGACAATCACGATGCATACTCTCAACCAGTAAACAAGTAAAGTCTATCTTCATCCTCATGTTTCAAGCACATTGATACTGGGCTTCGTTCTCGTATCTTATAGGCAATTTTGATGTGTTGGTATTGTGGAATCATATCTCTTGCTACCATTTTTCTTAATTCAATAGCATAGTATGCAGGTTGCATTTTTTTTCATCTCTTCATCTGTCAAATTCTTTCCCCTTTAGAACAAGTTCGAAAAATCTTAGTTGTCTCATCTGCTACTATCTTCTCTCAGATACCAGCTGATTAGAGTAAGCGCCAAGGGCATGAACGAGGGCTGCAAGTGGGTGGAAATGTTTGAGGATGTTAGCATGGTGATCTTCTCCGTAGCGCTCAGCGATTATGACGAGCTTGGAGCACCAGCGAGCGGCAGTAGTAGGACACTCATGAATAAGATGATTCAAAGCAGGGACTTGTTTGAAGCTACAATCAGGTACAAGAACCTTTTCTTGGAATTATTAGTTGAGCTCGATTCCAGTATAGTAGTATCAAATTAAGTTACTGAACCATATATATATATATATATATATATACATTTACTTGCTACATACAGACAGCCGTGCTTCCGTGACACGCCGTTCGTGCTGGTGCTGAACAAGTACGACCTGTTCGAGGAGAAGATCGGTCGGTCGCCGCTGTCGTCGTGCGAGTGGTTCAGCGACTTCTGCCCGCTTCGGACGCACCACAACAACCAGTCGCTGGCGCAGCAGGCGTTCTACTACGTGGCCATGAGGTTCAAGGACCTGTACGCGGCGAGCACGGGGCGGAAGCTGTTCGTGTGGCAGGCGCGTGCCCGCGACCGCCCCACCGTCGACGAGGCCTTCCGCTACATCCGGGAGGTGCTCCGATGGGAGGACGAGCGCGACGCCGCCGGCTACTGCCCCGAGGAGTCCTTCTACAGCACTACCGAGCTCAGCTCGTCCCGCCTCATCGCCGCCGCAGAGTGATCGGTGTGGTTCATTTGCCGGCACAGTTTTACTAGTAACTGTACAGTCTTGTAAACTTGTTATTTGTTCGTCGTAGAGCATTGTTGCAGTGTTGTTGTTTTGTATAATGTATGTATGCGTGCTAGTTTTCCAAACAAATCAAATCAAATATCAGAATTCAGATTGTCTTGGTGTCGGTGCTGCTGATGCTTCCATATTTGCTGATCCTGTTCTGACGTGAGTGGATGACAGGTGGGCCCACTTACTGATCATTTGCTGATCCTGTGCTGACATGAGTGGCTGTCAAGTGGGCCCACTGTAGTTTTTTGTTTTTTAACTTCCCACTGGAGTTACCTGGAGCCAAGAAAAGGAAAAGAAAGACAATCTAACCAACCTTATCTCGTTTCCCTTCCCGCGCCGTGCCCATGGCAATGGCTGCCGCTACTCCTCACGGTCACACTCCAGTGGGGGCCGCAGCGGCCACGTCCGCCGCCGCATCCATTGCCTGCTCCTCCTCCGCCGCTTCCTGTTACGAAGATGACGATGACTACGGCGGCGCATCGTCCTCCTGGTCGCTGTCGTCGCCGCGGCGCCGGCAGCCGTACCGGCGCCTCCTCCGCGACGAGGCGCAGCGGCTCCGGCGCGCGCGCCGGGGCCAGGGCCCGGGCGCCGACACGCCGCGGTGGGTGCGCCGCACCACGGACCAGATGGCCCGGTACGTCGAGGACGACCGCGCGGGGCACGTGTACGGCCGCCACGTGGTCGCCGCCGTCCGCGCGGTGCGCGCCACGGCGTCGCGCCCTGCCGCGGACATGCGCCAGGCCATGGCGTCGTTCGTGACCAGGCTCACCTTCCGCGAGATGTGCGTCGTGCTCCGCGAGCAGCGCGGCTGGCGCCCGGCGCGCGACTTCTTCGCTTGGATGAAGCTTCAGGTGGGTCATCACACACACCGTCATCAGCAAATCAAACTCATAAAGCTTTGCTGCTTTCTTAGCTTTTGTTGTACTAGAAATTAGTATAAAAAGTACTGCATTTTTTTTCCTGAATTCTTGGCCAATTTGTCCCAATTGTCAACTGACTGCATCCCTGACCGCCTGATTCTGCTGATCCCTACAGCTGTGCTATGAACCAAGCGTTGTAGCCTACACCATTCTGCTGCGGCTGTATGGCAGGGTTAGGGAAGATCAAGCTTGCTGAAGAGACATTTCTTGAGATGCTGCAGGTTGGCTGTGAGCCTGATGCAGTGGCTTGTGGGACCCTCTTGTGCGCATATGCTAGGTGGGGGCGGCACAAGGACATGATGCTGTTCTACTCGGCAGTGCGCAGGCGCGAATTAGTTCCCCCAGTCTCGGTCTACAACTACATGATCTCGTCTTTGCAGAAGCAGAAGCTACATGACAAGGTCATCCATATGTGGAAGCAGATGCTGGAAGCTGGCGCGCTGCCTAATCAGTTCACATATACAGTTGCCATCAGCTCCTTTGTCAAGGAAGATCTCTTGGAGGAGGCCATGGATGTGTTTGGTGAGATGAGGCGGTGTAGGTTTGTTCCGGAAGAGGCGACTTATAGCCTTTTGATCAGCGTGAGCTCCAGACATGGCAAAGGAGAACAGGCATTGCGGCTTTTTGAAGAGATGAAGGATCAGGGAATTGCCCCCAGTAACTACACCTGTGCATCTCTTTTGTCACTGTATTATAAGAATGAAGACTACTCAAAGGCTCTTTCGCTCTTCTCTGAGATGGAAGATAATAAGATCATTCCTGATGAGGTTATCTATGGAATTCTTATTAGGATATATGGTAAGCTTGGGCTTTATGAGGAGGCACAGCAAACGTTTGAGGAAATTGAGAAGGCGGGTCTTCTGAGTGACGAGCAGACTTATGTGGCAATGGCTCAAGTTCACTTGAATGATGGAGACTATGATAGAGCATTGGAGGTGTTAGAATCTATGATGATGAGGAACATGAAGCCTTCACACTTTTCTTATAGCGCTCTTCTCCGATGTTATGTTGCAAAGGAAGACATAGCTGCTGCAGAAGATACCTTCAGAGCTCTTTCCCAAAATGGCCTCCCTGATGTGTTTTGCTGTAATGACCTGCTCAGATTGTATATGAGGGTGGGACATCTAGAGAAGGCCAGAGCACTAGTTTTAAAGATGAGGGAAGATGATTTCCAGCTTGATGAGGGCCTCTCTATGACAGTGATGGAATTTTATTGCAAAAACAGTATGATTAAGGATGCAGAGAAATTATTCAAAGATATTCAGAGAAACAGAAAAACCGTGAAGATTCCAACAATGCTTTTGCTTATAGAGATGTATGCTAGAAACAGATCCAGTGTGATTCTGAAAGAACACAGCTCGTCAAAGGCACTCGATGAAACTGCAGCTAGTGTGGTGTTGAAATCCTTGTTGGACATGCCTGGGGGCTTGTCCAGTGTGTCCCTACTGATCAGCAAATTTGCTAGGGAAGGTGAGAAAGCTAGGATCCACAGAGAACAGGGCACTCACACCTAGTTGTAACAATCTCTGACTGCTGTCTATACATGTATTTGCTGCAGGGAGCACAGATGAGGCAAAATTCATTTATGACCACCTGACTGAATTGGGATTCAAGCCTGATGATTCCGCAATTGCTACTTTGATTGTCCAATATGGCCAGGTCAAGCAGTTAGACCAAGCACAAGAACTATTCGAGTCAGCATCAGCATTCTTTCCAGAAGGAGCAAATGTTTACAATGCCATGGTTGATGCATTCTGTAAATGTGGCAAAACTGAAGACGCATATCATCTTTTCATGGAAATGGCCGATCAAGGCAGTAATAGAGATGCTGTGACAGTTAGCATTCTTGTCACTCACCTAACTAAACATGGTAAAGGTTTTTTTATATCTGTACTTGTTCTATGGCTTTATTCAGCTGCTGCCTGCTATGTATCCAATTCTTTTTAAATGGCCATGCTTACTGCCACTGCCAGGGAAATTTCAAGAGGTTGAAAACATCATACATGGCTGTTTCCAAGATGAAGTTCAGCTCGACACTGTCTTGTACAATACTTTTATCAAGTCAATGCTTGAGTCAGGTCTGGCTAACATATTCTCCTATTCATCAGATAGGCAAGCAAAATTTCTGGTTGCAGGGCATCATAGCTAACTTCTGCATTTTTAGTTTCCATGCAGGTAAACTGCATTCAGCCATCAGCATCTATGATCGTATGATATCCTCTTGCATTTCTCAGTCTATGCAGACATTTAATTTAATGATAAGGTAGATAAGTTTACAGAAACCCCTGGAAAATAGGAGCCCAAATTCGGAATTGCATTCTTTTTCTTGAATATGTTGTTTGTAGCACCACGTCATCACTCATCAGCTTCAATCTTCTATTCAGTGTTTATGGCAAAGGAGGAAAGTTGGACAAGTCTGTTGAAATGTTTGCTGCTGCACAGGAGCTAGGCTTGCCGATTGATGAAAAGATGTACACAAACATGCTTAGCTTATATGGAAAAGCTGGTCAGGTTCTTGTGCCCTGTAAACAAATCAACTAAAGATCTTCTGATTGATTATTTTTGCCCATTGTTTCAGTTTTCCTTCTATCCAGTTCTAAGCCTATGGATTTTTCATATTTTCAGGTAGGCATCGGGAGGCGTCTTTAATGTTCAAAAGAATGAAGGAAGATGGCATCAGGCCTGGAAAGGTATTCTTTCATTGGGAGGAACTTTTGAAACCACCTTCAGAAAACAAGGAATGCTGTAGTTCCACCCTGACCATCTAAAGCAAACATGGCTAATCTGGACCAAACTTGCAATGTGCAGATCAGCTTCAATTCCATGATCAATGCCTATGCCACTTCAGGACTGTATAGCGAGGCAAAGAGTATGTTCCAGGAGATGCAGGACTGTGGTCACACTCCTGACTCGTTCTCCTATCTTGCGCTGATCAGAGCATACACAGAGGCTAAACTGTACACGCAGGCAGAAGAAGCCATCCAGATGATGCTGAACAGCAACACAACCCCTTCATGCCCTCATTTCAGCCACCTGATTTTCGCCTTTCTGAAGGAAGGCCAGATTGGTGAAGCCCAGAGGATCTACAACCAAATGAAGGAGGCAAGTGTGGCTCCTGATCTGGCCTGCTGTAGGACCATGATGAGGGTGTACATGGAGCACGGTCTCATGGACCAAGGCATCTCTCTTTATGAGACGACGCGCGGATCGCTGAAACCTGACAGCTTCATCTTGAGTGCTGCGTTTCATCTGTATGAGCATGCAGGCAGGGAGTCTGAAGCCCAGGATGTCCTGGATGCCATCAGTGTGAGTGGTACCTCCTTCCTGAGGAATATAAAGATTGGATCGAAGCTTTGATGAACCTGAAGGATTAGCCGTGATGTGTACATAATCTGAAAGAGGTTAGGGCACTTAAACATGCATTTTCCCCTTTCCCTTTGGGGGGGGGGGGGGAGGAGGAGAACACGAGTGCAAGAATGAATGGTGTGGTCCAAGGCTATTTTAGAAAGAGAAATTACTACTCCCTCTTTATGATTTTAGGGCATGCTAATTAGTTCAAATAAAGCAATTAGTTTGTCCTAAATATCTCCCTCGTAACTCGCCATGTTCTTGGCCAAGAACGTAACCTGCAACCATACTAGCTGTATTCTTGGCCAAGAACGTAACCCAAACTTCTGCCTATCTACCTACGTGGCAATCTTTAGCTGCTAGTCATGGACGTTGTCGAACAGCTCGTCCGTCGCCAGCACTACTTCGTTACCATCCCTTAGCAGACATCTGAAACGGCCGTCCACTTGTACCGCACAGCCACACGATTGCCAGATGATGACGAGATGATGAGCAAAATGGCTCATTGAGATTGTGGCGCCATGAGCGATTGGGGCATATAGTAGACAGTGAGTGACGGTGTAAATTTCACGGCTAGCAATACAATGTTTTTACTTTCAAAACATAGTTCAAACCTTGGGAACTTCAAGCTTAAAGCTGGCTTAGCTTCCACATGAGTGCCGAACAAACAAG